AGGTATAACACCCTCCCAGTGGCATAATGCAATAATAACCATAATGCACAAAAAATGTGACATTTCAGACCTAAAGAACTACAGACCTATTAGTTTGCTCTCCCATACATACAAACTATTCATGAAGATAATAACAAAACGGCTTCTAAACAACTGGAGTCACTACTAGTCAGCGGTAAAATTCTGATTGAGAGCCATAGCATCGACCAAGTAATAGCTTACAAATATCTAGGGAATGAGATTCGCCTAGGCCGAGATAATCAGACAACTGAAATACAAACAAGGATAGGTCTAACATGGGCTGCCTTTGGTAGATTGAAAAACATTTTCAAGTCTAGTATCCCAGTTTGTTTAAAAAGAAGGGTTTTTAACCAGTGCGTTTTACCGGTTCTTACATATGGTGCAGAAACACTGACTCTGACAAAAAGAACAATAGATAAAATAAGAGTTACACAACGCGCCATGGAAAGACCAATATTAGGTATTACCATCAGAGATAAAGTATCAAACCTAGAAATAAGAAGAAGAACAGGAGTCACAGATGCAGTTGAAAACAATAGTCAGGGCTAAATGGACTTGGGCCGGACATGTTGCCAGATTAACGGATGACAGATGGACCAAAAAGATTCTGGAATGGCGACCAAGGCAAAATGCATATCGAAAGAGGACGACCACCGACTAGATGGACGGATGATATCAAGCGCATCACCACAAACTGGATGCAAGAAGCTCAAGAACAGAAATAGAAGAGCCTTTCTTTTAAAAGAGCAAGAAGAATTTTTTAAACGCAGTCCATTTTAAATAATTTAGGATTCGTCTTGTGTATTGTTGCCCAGAAATTCTCTGCATTTTTTTTATTTCTTTTATGTATAGTTAGCCCTCCCAGTCCCTCAAATAAAGAAACCTTTATCTACGACTCAGCCATCCAGCCAAAACACGAGTAGCCGTTCCCAAACGTTACAGTTTATTTGCTTACCCATTTTGTAACGATAAGACTACCAAAGAGAATTAAAATACTATTATAAAATAATACCTCAATCAACTATGGAAGCTTATCGTCTATGTTTCACCTAGCTCAGTCTCCCAAGTGTGAATCTGTCTTGTCTTAAAATATGAACCAAACAATGGATATTCAGTTGGTAATAAATAAAACAATGAAATATCGTAGTCATATTTTTTTATCAGAAAACAAACAAAATAATAATATTTTGCACAAGCAAACCCTGCCTATTGATTTACAATAAACATTTTTTTTTATTGAGTTTAATGCGTCGACAACTAATGGTCATTGTCATGGTACAGTGAATTTTTACAGTCAGGTACCTGTGTAGTGTGTAGTGTAGGTGTAGAGTAATTGTCTTGATACTTAGCAAAGTCGACGTCATTGTCTTTGCTAAGATATGCTAATTGTATCCGAACGTCCTGTGGTCCCTCCGGTGAGTACCGATCGCACACGGATAGAAATTATTTTCATTCATTAATTTTCAATAAACGAAAATTTCTCCACCCAGGTGAGATTCGAACTCACGACCTTTACGTTTAAAGGTAGGCGCTTTTACCACTGAGCCACAGAGGGGGTTAATAAACAAATTTACAATTAATACCTTGTTAATTAACCGATTAGCGCCGAGAAAAGAAAATTCTTTTTATATGCGATAATTTTTATTCAAACCAACGTAAAAACAATTTATTTTTGTTAAGTTTAAGCCGAAATAAAAAAAATTCTTGTTTTTTTTGAACAAAAAGTGGCGTTTGCAAGATCAAATATTGAAACAATTCAATAATTTGTCCCATTTGAAAAATGACAAAGCTCCAACGTTGCATTTTTCACACATTGTACGCTCTTTTGAACTGCAAACTAGTATGGCGCACCTCTTTCTTTTGCCCTCAGGTACAGAGATAATCCAATGATCCTTGCAGTCAAACCTGACGCAGTCAGACACTCGAAAATCATCTGGCTCACATTTTCCAGTTCTTTAGCGGACTTTATATGTAGTTAAGTAGCTAAAAATTGAATGAATCGTAAACATTTTCTGAGTTTTGTATAAAAATACTTTTACCTGACAAACACTTCTTCTAAACTCTAAAAGACTAACATTCTCTCCGGATTTCCTACATATGGTCCAAGCATTTTGAAGAGCTGCGTCTATGAGGTATGTAAATATTGGCCAGTACTATTTTTTGGAACGTATGCCGGCTCGGTAACTGAACAAAAATTATCCATATATTTTCATTTATATAAATATTGCTCTTTATTTCTTACCAAGATATATTACTGTCCATGAGATCAGTTTCTTCCATGCTGTATTTACTGCGAAAGAAGATATGGCCTAGGTATTGTCTTGCTATCCTTTTTGGAATATTTCCACATTTTTTACCGGCTAAACACCAAAACATGTGCTTGCAGCTGTTACAACTTTGTTGTCCCTCCAGCGAACATATTGAATACCAGTCTCCTTATTCAATGTTGAACAATATTCCCCTCGTGCCTCTTTCCATCGTCTTTTGAAACAAGGACAATTTCTAGGATTCTATTATCCCTCACAGTACCTGTAACCTCGTACCCATTAGCTTTTAGAGTACTTAACAAGTTTGTACTGGTAAATAAATTATCAACGAAAAACTTGTATCTCAGAGATCCTTTGTCACCCAATTCTTCGATCATCTGTACCATGGGAGCTGCAGCTTTTCCGAAATATTTTTGATATTCTTCATTAGATCTAGGATTTTTTCTCTGATATACTTCAAAGTTTATCAAATATCCGCTAGGTGTATTCATACACCACACCTTATAGCCAAACCTTACAGACTTTCTCTGATAAACTGTTTGCATCCATGATGCCAAAGTAGCGTATCATCGATTCATCATAAGCTATATTTTCTTCTGGGACAAAATGCTCTATGAACGATTTTTTTAACATATCTGTAAGTGGTCTTAGTTTGTACATTTTGTCATTTTTATCTATATTATTATTGTCTGCAAAATGAAGTAAACGACAAATTTGTAAAAACCTGTCACGTCTCATGGCATCAGACACCAGAATATTTTGCATGTCAGGGCTTCTCTCCCAGTAGCTTCTTTTAGATGGTAGCTTATTATATCCGCTTACTAAGAGAATTGCCATAAATACTTTCAATTCAGGAAGTGTCACGTTAGGGTTCGGTTGATTTATCAGTAGAGCATATTTTGTTGTTTCAGACACTATCATTTCTAGCAACTCATCAGTAATAAATAATTCAAACAGTTGCACACAACTCATCTCTGAATATTTACTGTAATCCCCTTTTGGAAAGTTGCGCGGCGTATAATGAAGGTCTCCGTCAATATAAGTTGTAGGTTCTGGCAGATCAATTACCATTCGGGGATTTGTATTAGTTTTTATTTCATAAGAACTATTTACGTTCTGCAAATCCTTATCATAGCTTGCTTCTAGGTCTGATTGTACACCTCCTAGACGTTCAGAGTCTGCAAATACAACTTCCGCACCTGCACGAAGTTGACGAGGATTCAAGTTATCCGGGTCACCACCTTCGTCTTCGTCACCTGAATCCTCATCCGTAAGGAAATTTGATTCAGGCGGCTCAATAAAAATGTCTGTTACATCATCTTCTTCATATGCGATATCTAAAGCTTCCTGTAGTGTAATTCCACTGAAATTATAAAAAGATATGTTTTGACTACATAACCGCCTAGTGGGTCCATATGGGTACAGCAATATTTACATGAATTTTTAACTGCCCCTTGTAATTTTGATACAAAAATATGCACACTACGTTATATTTTAAGATCTTTTAAAATAAGTAAAATTGATTTGATCCTAGTATTCCCAAAAAAAGGTACTGAAAATTTACTTACATAAATCGGATGTCCATTATCAAACACTTTTTACTATAACACGATTTTCTAACTTCCTTAGCTTGTGAAATCTAATAAAACACTGATGAGTATTCATCAACGCAGGTTCAAAAAAGCCTAAATAAAGTATACACGCGGTAAATGTAATGTTGGTTAGGTTAGATTAATTAAACAATACCGTTACAATCTGGGTCCCATGACTCTAGGTGCTAATGGGTTAACACAACAAATTTGTTGATGGCTCCTGATGGTGGTTTTATGAATTGTCACTAAATATGCAGATTTTAAGTTAATGGAACGCGTTGTAGTTTTAAGCAGTTATTTAAAAATTTCCGTTGTAAAACGTTAAAAATTTTTTATTAAAATTTTTAAAATTATCCAAAGTGGATTAATAAATTTTTAGAACGGTTTTAATCTTATTAGATAATTATCAGTAAAAAACCTACAAATAAGTATATCCACTTATAAATGAAAACAAAAGGTAACATTTTTACTGTCAAATTCAAAATGTGGCTAATAATTCGTTAATTCTTTAATACTAGGTCAGAGCTATTTTTTGTGTATACCTATCTTCAATTTATTACCTTAACAGTAATTCAAGCCTCCGCAATGAAGAATCCCAATTTCGAAACATATTTAACAATAATGAAATCCAATACGCCAATTATAGATTCCTCGAGGTCACATCAGTGCACTGCATCAACGTGTAGGTAGTAACCATTTCATACACAATAAACTTCTCGATACTCGAAGAGCTAATTAACAATTGGATTATAATCCACAGTATGTCAGGTACAAGTTATATGTGTCAAGTGTATATTACAGATATTATAGTGAATTGTAGACGTGCTCATCCAACGGTTTCGATTAAATCAATTTTGACTATTATGGTTTAGTATAACCGCATGTTATGGTGAAAGGTATAATTAAAAGGTCTATTAAATATTTGTTAGATATAAAGTTATACGAATTAATTGACAAAATTATTATAATCTTATAGAAAATTTCTATACCAAAAAATCAAGTATATACCATCCTCTATTGGCCAGTTTTTTTTAGGTTCAGTTTTTCTGATGTATGAAGCTAAAAAAGCTGTTTGCAGATCATAAGTTGGTAAACTGTACAACTTAGAGAAGAGTCTTTGTCATTTATCCTCGTTAAATATTCCACATTGGTACCTACATGTATGCACATACTCCTGTACACATTTCTTTCTCTTCATTTTTCCTCTGCTTTCATATTCTTGGCCAGCAAGCCTCTTATTTGTGATTTTATTCCTCTTCCATTCCTGTACGTTACGCTTCCGTTTTCGGGTAGTTTTAGGAGTTACTAAAAAGAAGAAATGTGTTAACCCCATACGTTGAACTTAACTTCGAAATTTCTAAAAGTACATAACTGTAGTAGGTACTAAACTTACCGCTATCTACAAGTTTAATATTTACATAATAAATTAATTTTTGTTGGGGATGTTACGCTTAAATTGGAAGTAACAAGCCAAAACATACAACTTTTACTATTAAAATATTATACTCACCATGTGTGCTTGTAGTTGCTTCCTCGGCAGATATTATGGAATTATCGCTTTCGTTATCTTTTTCATATTCACTCGGAATAAAATCAGATTCTCCATCTGTAACATATGGATCACTATCTGACTCTTAAAATAATATAACCTTAAAATTATTAAACTAATAAATTCTTATTTTATCTTTTTTCCAAAAACCATTATAACTTACCTGACGCAAAAAACATGATCCAAATATTATAATGACAAAATATATAATTTCTGCACACAATATAATCACTTAAACACTGCTATTAATCTTCTAAAGTAGTATAACTTACACTTCATAAACAAAAATCCAAACCGTTGAGTAAAACCCAAACAACATAAGTAATAAAAATATATTTATTTCCAGTAGCTTGTTTGTAAGTAAAACAGCCTAGGTGATCTAATGCGATTTCTGCTCTTAACGGTTGGTGAATTTCATTTTGGTTGTTTTTTTCTATTCATCAAAAGATGGCGATAAAGTAGGGTTAGAGCATAGTCGATTTTACTACCAAACAATATAAGATATTTAGAACGTGTAACATCACTAAAGTCGTTTTCGTGAAAATTGAACTTAGGCGGTTTTACTTCTAACCCCTTCAGGTTTAGTATAACCGCATGTTATGGTGAAAGGTATAATTAAAGGTCTATTAAATATTTGTTAGATATAAAGTTATACGAATTAATTGACAAAATTATTATAATCTTATAGAAAATTTCTATACAAAAAAATCAAGTATATACCATCATCTATGTACAGATTATATTGCACCATAAATTATTGATATAAATTAAAACACGGATCAAATTACTATTTCATTCGGAATAAGCCACAATGTAAGCTTAAACTAAGTTTATTTTATGACGTTGCGATTTTTACTTCGGAAATCGTTTTCAAAATACAAACATTAATAAATTAAACAAATTTTGTTTTTCTTCTAATAATGTAATTTTATCTTACTCCATAATACTCACAATTTAGACATATGTTATACATTTTAAAATAGATGACTTTAACCCTGCTGTCCTGTTCGGGTCTATTTTACCCAAAAAAGAAATTATTTCTCATTTGCAAATTACTTATTACGTGGCGTAACGTTTTGGTGTTTCGTGACTTTATTACCTAATATGAGGTCTTTTACTTGCATACGAGATAAAAATCAACTTCCTGATTTTTTTCGTTAAAAATCGTTAAAAATTACTTGTGTACGTATGTTTAGTTGGCAGTATTTTATATATTTTTTTAACAGTTTGTCAGTCAGGTACGTCTATAAATAGAAACAAGTTTCTTAAAGCTAGAACTTGTAAAAAATGTGTAGTGTAGCTGGACGATGTCATTTACAAGGACATGTCACGTAGAAGGAAGTGGGGGTGATAGACAAGTGGTAAGCTGGTAGAACACTGATATGCCAAGCCCATTCATTTACATTCTAAATTTCAGGCTATGTTTGCATGTTGATAATGTCGCATCGAAGAACGCTAACCGAAGATGAGCTTCGCGAGCTCGCGAACATGTCACAGAATGATGAGTGCATATCAGAAACAGAAAACAATACAGTAGTGATACGAAGGAAGAAAGTAGATGATTCTGCTGTTCCATTTTACCTACAACATCCTGTATAACCTTCTGTAACAGTTCCTTCAAAAGACGGTAATATCTAGTGGTCTCTCGATCCTCCTTATCAACGCGGTCGTTTTTCCATGGCCAATGTTATAAATAATGCACCAGGAGATACAAGGAACGTATGTGCACGAATTTTCGATATTAAAATTCATTTGACGCACTCTTTTCTTACATAGTTGCAAACCAAATTATAAATATGACCAACAGAGAAAGACAGCATGTTTTTGAACCAACTGGAAAGACTTGAATAAAATTGGTTTTCAAGCATACATTGGTCTTTTATTAACAATAAGCTGAAGTTTTTAAGTCCCATGGCGAATCGACTAAAAGTTTGTGGAATAAAGAAACGGGTCGTAGTGTATTTTGAGCAACAATGTTCTTAGAAGACTACTAGACAGGATATAAGACGTACTGATAAACTTGCCACAATACGTGAAATTTGGGAAAAATAGGTAGAAAATCTACCAAAATTTTTTAATCTTGATGAAAATATTATCGTCGGTGAGCAATTAGTTACCTTTAAAGGTCGCTGTTCCTTCAATGAGTACATTCCAAGTAAACCAGCGAAATATGGCATAAAAATTTAGGCTTTGTGTGACAGTAAAAGTTTGTATGCTCTAAAATTGCAAATCTATACAGGAAAATAAGCAGGTGCCGCGCCGCAACGGAAATCAAGGAATGTGGTGTGTGACTTTTGTGTGTAGTGATTTGAAAAGCCCACAATATTACTTGTGATAATCTGTTTACGTCATACAATTTAGCAAAACTTTTTGTAAAAAGAAAAAATACAATGCTGGAGACTATAAGAAAAAATAAGCCAGTGCTTTCAGAACAAATTGCGAATAAAGAAGTTCATAGTTCGTCTTTTACTTCACGCAAAAATACCATTGTTGTTAACTATATTCCGAAAAAGTATAAAAAATGTTATTCTTATGAGTACTTTGCTTCATGATAAGGCTATTATGACAGAAATGACAAAAGCCACAAATTATTTTAGATTAAAATTCCAGTAAGGGAGTAGTGCATACTCTAGATCAGCTTGTTGGTACATATACATGTAAGAGAAAGACAAATCGCTGGCCTATGATTATTTCTTATAGTATGCTAGGCATTTATATGTATTACAATGCGTTCGTTTTATGGACATCAATAAATGCCCAATGGAACACCAACAAACTTACAAAACGGCGATTTTTTTTTTGAGAAAATGCGAAAAATACTTGTGAAACCACTTATCCTTTCCAAGAAAAAATTTACTAGGAAATAAAGACTCACAAGAACTGGTAAAAAGAACACAAACAGAAGCGAGTAAAGAAGATGGAAATTCTAGTAAACCTTCTATGGACAATGTAACTCCGCCTGCTAAACGAGCACTCTGTAAGTTTTGCTCTAAAAACGATAACAAGACTAATATGTTATGTTATACAGGGTGAGTCATGAGGAACTTTACATACTTCTACCATATGTAGAGTCCCTCAGGGAGCATATCATGTGGCCACTAAAAAATGTCAACTCCTCTTCTTTATTAATTAACAATGTGATTTGTGTAATTGATAATTTATTTCATTTTACTGTAGTGTTTATACGGCTCATTTGATTTTTTTAATTTTTGCATGATACAGTACACTACTATCAAGCATTCGACTGGTATTAGCTAAACTAAAAAATTCCAGGACTGACTTTGGAAAAATTAATTTAGGGATTCGTATTAAATATTACACCCTGTATATATATTTTTTAAAATGCAATAAGTGATTTTCAAACTACATAAATAGCCAATGAAAACGACATATGCGACAATGTTGTCGCACTTTTATTAAATTTTTAGTGAACGATCAAATCTTACCAAAATAGAACAACCATAATGAAGTATCAAATTATAAGGTATTAATTTAAACGAATGTTATAAATTTCAAATATTTTAATTAAAATGAGTTCCTACAACATAATCTAATACGTAGAAAATTAACATCTTTACTGTCACTTTGTATTATCTCTACGATAGAATCAATTGTTTTTCAATTTTAAATTTTTGTAATTGTACAAACCCTCGTGTATGTGTTAGTTTTTGTTGATTGTAAATGATTAAAATTTTATGTCAAATAATAATACATTGCATCAACTGTACTAAATAAAAATAAATCTAAAAAAGTTTAAAATGAAGGTTGGCGTTGACCGTTTGACGTTTCTTGATATTTTATACCCATTGTCATGATTGTCATTATCAATTGTTATTTATGTGTACAAGAATAAATATTTCTTGCCACATCAGTTTACGACCACAGCATAAGCAGACATAATATTTGTTTATGGATTCTGTAATGGGAATGGTAGGGCTGCTAGTAGAGAATATCGCAGGAGATTTCCTAATCGTCGAACTCCCAGTCATCCAACATTTGGGTCAGTTTTTAATTATTTGCGAGAAAATGGCACTTTTCCTAGTGGAACAACAGAGCGACATGTGGATGAAGCGCAGGAAGATGACATTATGGACGCCGTTACTATGAACCCTACAATAAGCACTAGACAAGTAAGTCGAGAACTAAATGTTACTCAATCAAAAGTAAGTAGAGTCTTACAAAAAAATAATCTATACCCATATCACATTCAAATGGTTCAGCGACTACATGCTGGAGATGAGATCGATAGGTTGGAATTTTGTAGATGGATTAACAATAATCGACCAACGCTATACAGGACACTATTTACAGATGAAGCCCAATTTACCAGAGACGGGATAAATAATTCACGAAATTCACATGTGTGGGCAGAAAAAAATCCCCATGCTATTCGAGAACGTCGTTCTCAGTTAAGGTTTTCGGTTAACGTGTGGATTGGTGTCATAAATAACGAATTAGTAGGTCCTCATTTTTTGGATGGTCCTTTAACAGGGCAGGTCTATTTAAACTTTCTACAAAATATTTTGCCGAATTTGCTTGCCAACGCGAACGTTGCTATCCGAGGGATTTATTTTCAGCATGATGGGGCACCCCCACACTTTTTACTGGCAGCGAGACAACATCTCAATAATGTTTATGGCAACAGGTGGATAGGATGTGCAGGTCCTATTTCGTGGCCTTCAAGATCCCCTGATTTCAATCCCGTTGATTACCAAATTTAGGGACGATTGAAGCAACTAGTTTACGCAGTGAATATAACCGACAACAATTAATTGATAGAATTATACATTGTTGTAATACTATTAGAAACGATCCCTAGAGTATCCGTAATTCAATACGTCAATTAACAATTCGGCAACAAAATGTGTTGTGCAACAAAAAATGTGTTGCAGGGTTCCATTTCGAAAATCTATTTTGAATTATTTTTATTTTGTTACCATTATTGTACCTTTTCCAGTTCTAATTTATGGGTTTATCATAACTATGTACATATTTTTAGTTTTTTTTTAATTGTTCTTCGTTATTGTTAGTAGTTGGAATCATTTCATTTAAAATGTTTGAAATTTATAACATTTGTTTAAATTAATTGATACTTCATTATGGTTGTTCTATTTTTGTTCTATTTTGTATTGATAGTTTGAAAATCACTTATTGCTTTAAAAAATATATATATATATTATATATATATATATATATATATATATAATATATATATATATATAATATATATATACAGGGTGTAATATTTAATACGAATCCCTAAATTAATTTTTCCAAAGCCAGTCCTGGAATTTTTTAGTTTAGCTAATACCAGTCGAATGCTTGATAGTAGTGTACTGTATCATGCAAAAATTTAAAAAATCAAATGAGCCGTATAAACACTACAGTAAAATGAAATAAATGGTCAATTACACAAATCACCCTGTTAATTAATAAAGAAGAGGAGTTGACATTATTTAGTTGCCACATGATATGCTCCCTGAGGGACTCTACATAATATGGTAGAAGTATGTAAAGTTCCTCATGACTCACCCTGTACATGCCACAAATATATTTGTAAAACCCATTCTTTTTATTACTGTCCCAGTTGTAAACTAAATTAAATTTTGTAGGTACATATTTGTTCTTAGGCTTTTCTGGCAAAGAAAAAATGCCTTTTATTTTTGTTAATAAGGTTTAATTTACATTAGCAACATACTTTTTGTTTAATTAACTATAATTTTTTGTTAATGTAGTTTTGTTTAGCACCATCAGCTTATTTTATTTCGATTAAGGACCGCAAACAATAGTTGGGTCATATTGACCCGAACAGTACATTTGCATAGTTGACTCGAACGGTACATCAGGGTTAAAATAATATTGCCAATGTTGTTGAGTTGCGTTTCTCAGACGATTTTATTGTAAGACTAATGATTTTTCCTGTCACTATGCGACATGGGATCAAATCGATTACCATCTATAGCCACTTGTGATGTCCTCTCGTAGAAGTCACTATCCGGGTAGCTTTTAGACACTCAGAGACAGAGTTCAAAACAAAAATAAAACTTTATTGTCTTCCTTAAATTAAATTGACAAAAATCTTATGTACATATTTACAATTTGGTTTAGTCTTCTCAGTACCTGGCCTATTTATTCAAATTAAGTTTGACCTTGTCATATGAAATTAGTCTTATCGGCAAGCGTGTGTGTATTTGAATTTTTACGGGAACGTTGTATCGATTTAATAACAGCGGACGATAGGTACAAAGAGAGGAAAGGAACTCAACACGTCCCTCAAGTGATTCGGATTAACAGGACACTCCTCGACAGTCTCAACACGACTGCTTCAGAGTACGGGTAGTGAAGAGCTCAACACGCTCTTCGGGTAACGGCGGTATGGGACGGAACAACTTGTGAACTCAACACGTCCACAAGCCGGGGTAGGGAAGCAGAGAACCTTCAGTCAACACCTGTCGATTCTGTCTCTATGAGGAAGTGTTGCGGTTTATATAGCGGAGCTTGGTAATTAGTTTTGCCCTTTCTACTGTCGATACACTCCTACTTCATGGGTTGGTTCGCGCGCACGCTGGTTTAACGGTGAGGGCTTGGACTCATCGTTACACACTTACTAGTCAATTTTTTCTGACTTCCTTCTATTTAAGCCTAGGACGACTACAAAACTATATTATAATCTGTGGTACAAATTTAATAACAAGTAAGTCACTTTTGGAGAATTGCAGAACTTTTGCATAACGTCGTATGAAATCGATTTAGATACAAAAAATAGCATAATTCTAGTTTGGCAATTTATTTGTTGGGAAAGCTCAAGTTATGTACTATACTTTTTACCGATCAGTTTTCGCAGCCAATGTTTTAGGATTAACAAAGTTTCAAAAAAATTAAAAATTAATTTTTAAAATAATAAACTTTTTGCATAAAAGGAACAGTTTTTAGTAATATTAGTAATTAAATTAAATTAAAGTATTAGTAATATTAATTAAACGTGTCATTTTAAAAACAAAATATGATTGAAATGTCAAATGTTGGTAGTTCAGATTTATGTTCTAGGTGGCGTAGTTACTCTACCGGAAAAACAGTATGACTTCTCGTTCTAGCCTTTTATATGGATAAGTTTCATTCACTAACCTTTTATTAGATTAAATGAAATCAAATTTAACTTAAGAATACCCGTTATAGTCCAGTCGTCAGAGAGTTGACCCCTAAAATTCATACGAACAAGCTAAATTTTGCCGAGAATATTAATTTTAAGACCTCAAAAAAGATGTAAAAAAGTTTATTACTTTGACCCTCGACCTTTAACCCATCCCTATAAAACCTCCCTCGTAGGGGGGTAAAAACGCAAAAAAATTGATTTACCAAGAATGTATGCCCCAATAAAGAATGAGTCAAATAAAAAATGTAGCTGAGGTAATTTTAAACAAAAATGTTTATTGGCACTTTTTGCGTAGAATGAACCGTTCTCTCAGAAACAAAGTTTGAAGCGGCCATTGATTTTAAATGTTGCTACTCCGGCGAAGTCAATGTTTAATTAAATTTGCCGAGAATAAACTCAGTTTATATAAAGGTGTTAAATAATTAACACCAATAATTTTTTGATTCTCGTAATATCAATAAAATTGATCACTTTTATTCACCAGTCGTAGTAAAATTTCCATTTTTTAGAGATCAATCTTTAAAATCTATAACATGAATTTTTAATTTTAAGTTGTTACAACAAATATAAGGCATTTGATATATGAATAAAAAACGCAGCATTTAATGTTATACATTACAAACGATCGCACGTCACGTGAAATGCCTCCAAGAAAAAGGTTTTGGATGTAGTTTATAACAGAAGTTTGGTTCTTTTAAAATACGTACTAGTGGAGGTCAAAAATCCTCTTAGTTTTTTGTTTTCTATTTCCTCTAGTTTTCGGTATAACTCGCAAACCATACCACTTTGGGGCACCCTGTACGCGCTCACTTTTCTACTAAAATGACATATTTAACAAACTTTTTTTCGTTTTACGACCTAATCTTTATAATTGAATAGGTCTCCATGACGTTTTAGTAATTGCAAATTTAGCATCCCTTACTGTTACATACATTCTGCTTATGACACCCATATGATACGTACACGATCGTAGTTCATACACACACGGAACGATTGTAAATATATGAGATGAAAGATAAGTCACTAAATACAGTCTTATTTCCTGGCCTTAAAAAATTTAAAAATAAAATGAGCACAAGTTATAAAACAGTGAAAGCCAAATAAAGTTGCGTTCACGTCATCATTGTGAACATTTGCAGCGTTGTCAGATGGTTTATGAAGTATGAAAATTAACAGAAAAGAACTTAAATAAACAAAAAAGGTAAAAATAGCAAATTTCACACTATATTGTTACACTTCTTAAAACTTAGCTTTATTCAACACCAACAATATAACAATACTTTTAACTAACTGACAACTATAAACTTCTACATTCAAAATACATCTGTTCCCCAACTGTCAAAAACATCTGTTATATATACATATGTTCTGACGTTCCAAACTTCACTAGACATTTCAAGAATTTTCGATGTCATTTTAAATGTTCTCGAACTACTTCTTCTTTTTCGTCAATGGACTTTTCCTATGTGGGATAAATCTTTCCTAACAATATTAAGTCGAATTTAAAAATGAGTGTTTTTTTTCACTTATTTTTTTGTTAATTACATTCATGAATAGATTTCACAAAGTAAGTAATTTCACAATAAAAGTGGTAAAGTTATTACTGAGTTACCAAACAATAAGTTACTCGTTTATTAGTGCAACGCTTTTTCTTTGGTGACTCGAACTGTTCACCTTTTTTCTGCATTTGACATATGAACGTATGCTGTTTACTGTTCTTACGCTGATTTTTAAAAGCAGCAGCTACACGCTAAAATTATACAAATGTTTGTAAAGTAAAGTGATGATATTTTATTCGCATATTACCTCTTGTACAGCATTTAAGGGTAACAAAGAGCCATTATTAATCCTTTCTTCTTCAAAATAGTTAACTAATGAAGCCACAAGTTCTTTGCATCGACTATTGAGCTGTTTGGGCATTTTGACAAGTAAATAAATGTTTTTCACAAGATAACCTCAAAAATCGACGATACCACGAGTACAAAAGTCACAGACCACTGAATGAAAATTCAACAAACGACGCGGCAACATGACAATATTTCTGGTAGTGACTAACACTCCGTCAATAATTGGCGGTTTCTTCATGAACATTTCAACACAAAATTTTACAATGACGGACGTCTAAATCCAAAAAAGCTATATATACATAGCTGTATATACATTATTTTGTTACAAAAGTTTTTTTATTGAGCGGGTTGTTTTTAAAAGTGATTGTTTAGCAAACTAAAGTAACATACACTTTTCTATAGAAATGTAGCCACACATACAATAGAATTATGACATTGGTGACGTGCACGCAACTTTATTTGGCTTTTAGTGTAGGATTCAACAGATTGCTATTTTCCTGTAAGTAAATGTTTGAGCACCTCCACCAAAATTTTCGGTAATATTTGTTCCATGCGCTGTACGCTGTAGTTACTCATAACTGTCAAATATTTTTAAAAAAGATAAAGAACTGAAAACAATATGATGTTTAGACCTATAGTAGCTTATAAAATTTTAATCAAGAATCTTACGCAGAATCCAAAATGCAATAATATATAGGGTGTCCTATTTTTTAAAATAACAAAGTTTCTGTTTACTTACTCTATTACAGGAAAGAAAGTGTCTGTCAAAATATTTTCTTTAAGTTTGACATAACTTGTAATCCCCACAAAGCATTTTTTATTAATATCGTGTAAGCACTTTTCGATATATTAATAATTGGCTCATGAAAGATGTTAATTTTTTATATTTATTATTCATATTTAAAGAAAATATTATTACCTCCTCCACAAGTAGCTGAGCATAATGATGTATATGTTAATGTCCAGTAGTATAGTGGTTTGGAACATGACGATCCATCACCTCCACATACACCGCAGGCATCTACTTGTTTATCCGATCCAATTTGTAGATCACATCCAACTCTCTATAAAATAAAGGAAATTATGCAGTGTATTACTAAAATAAAAAAGGTATTTTCACACATTTTTACAATTTTTTACACAGAAACTTTTTAAAATTTTGCTTTTAAGGTTATATTAATACTGCTAAAATAACAGTGTTCAGTGTGTCTATTTTAAAACTTACAATAAGCTATATCTCATGAACAAAAGCTAAAATCGAAAAATGCATAAAACGGTTTTTAGGATAGTAAGGGGGAACTGCCATGACATGAAAGACAACTCACCCCCATCAACCCTTAGGCCTTAATCGCCACAAACAAAAAAGTTTAAATTGCAAACCCCTACTTGTAATACATCATTGAAAGGACTATAAAAAATGCTATCCAATGGTACAAATAATAATTATACAGGGTGAAGCAATAATTGTGAAACTTTGGCTTAAATGGAAAATTTAATGAGGAATTTGGTTTTTATTGATTCTGTTAAAGACCCTGAATAATTATTGTTTAATAATTATACAGGGTGGTAATATTAGCCGACTTACTATGACTTTTGTATTTGTAATACTATCTCCTGGACTATTATTTTTAATGATAAGCGCCCGTCGGATTTTTTTTGTTAAATAAAAACTTAATATGTCGTTTTTGCAAAACAAGTTGAAAACATCTGGCTTTTGGGTTCTGTCAGATTTAATAATTTTTGGATTATTTGAGAATATCAAATGTCATTCATCATTTGTACGATCGGTACTGTCATTCAGCTGTAATTGTCACCATGTTTTACAGTATACCTTATCGAGTGGAGATGATTTTTATATTTGCCTCCCAGAAACAGTGTTATTTACTAACAGCTCAAATATTTTATGAAACGCATCCGGACAAAAATTTAAGTCACTTTACTATGCAGCCCCAGTTAGGCACTGGTTGGATACTAATTATCCGAACAAATTTGTTGAAAGGAGAGGTCCTATTGAGTGGCCACCGAGATCACCAGACTTACCGCCACCTGACTTTTTTCTACGGGGTTACCTCAAGTCAGTTGTTTATAAAATTTAAACAACGGATCCTACTTTGAACATTTACTTAATTGAGATTTTTAAGAAATTCGTAGTTCAACAAAAACCTCATTAATTTTTTCATTTAAGCCAAATGTTTACAATTATTGCTTTACCCTGTATAATTATTATTTATACCATTGGATAGACTTTTTTATAGTCTTTTCAATGATGTATCACAAAGAGAGATTTGCAATTTAAACTTTTTTGGTTGTGGTGGGTGGGGCCTAGGGGGTTGATGGAAGTGAGTTCTCTTTTATATCATTTTAGTTCTTCCTTATTATACTAGAAACGGTTTTAAGCATTTTTTGATATCAGCTTTTGTTCGAGAGATATAGCCCATTGTAAATTTTAAAATTGACACACTGTATATCCAATTGTTTCGGTTACCTGACGATGTATTGGTCAATACCCAAATACCAGGAAAGACTAATCCATACTTAGTCTAGGTTAGAGGTGTCTGACCGACCATTATCCGCCCTGGAGAAGGAACGCTGCTGAACAGCTATTGGATTAATCAGTATTTGGTTACCGACGGGAAAGGCAGTTTGGTCTTTAATGAATACGTAAAGACCTGGATTAAAATATCTTAACAAATCAGTACTCTAGCGTTAACTCCCGAAATGGTTGGCTTTTGATCAATGATAAAAGACCCGGACATAAAGGTTTTACGAAAGTTGGCTCCTTAAAAATCGGGCCAATACAGCAATATATATTATATGTCTTATACAAAAGTAAAAACTTCAAAATTTATATATTGGTATTACAATATACATATATAATACCAATATACAAATTTTGAAGTTTTTTTACTTCTATATAAGTTTTTTAAATATGGTATACAGCCAACTACTGGGATTTTCCCATTAATTTTTATATCAATATATAAGTGACACGTATAACTATCTGCTCTAAAAATTAAAAAAAAAAACTCATTGCAACAGAAAGTCGAGCTAGTAAACATTGTATAAGTTCAGTTATACTAAATATTGATGCATTTATGGGATGAAAATATACAACTAGTGTTAGAAGTTTTTTAAATATAACATCAATATTTGTATAGAACATTAATATTATTCAAAGGGGTTTTCAGTGTTGGTTTTAAAGTTTTACAATTTACTACACTCATATATTTAAGTAAACAATACGATTCTAAAATGTACAATAAATAGTTACGCAGCTTGAAGGGCCACTAAAATAAATATTAGATTTTTAATCACTAAGAAAGACCAGAGTTCCTTTATAAAACAACAATTCAAAAAGAAGTTTGCAAAGTTGAATCGTTTTCCAAATATTTGAGGAGTCCTAACAGGATCTTATTAAACGAGCAAAGCTGGTGTAATTAGTTTGACAACAACTTTGGGTATAAAGTTGTAACTTTTGCAGATTCAATTAAACATTGCAAACTCTAATTAGGTTTCTAGAGAATCTGCAAAACTAAAATATGCAAGGTGATCCGTTTTGACTTCCTTTTTGGAACTTATAATTTTAATGATACAAAGCGAACAGTCGCTCCACTCGGAAGTAAAATTTTATCAAACTTGCTACAAAACATAGTTTATATTGTGAAGATTGTTTTACTGGGAAGTCTAAGAAAAGTATTATCGTAAAAGTTAAATACAAAAAAATTCAACGATTGAAATTAAAATGATATACATTTCTACTTGTATTATTTTATTTTTCGCGCTATGAATTTATTATACAGGGTGAGTCATAACTATTGGGACATAGACTAAGGACAGGTTATCTGGACCAAAATATGGCCATTGGGCCAAATATACCCTAATAAAATATTGCTAGGAAAAAAGTTACAGGGTGTTAAAGTGGAAATTTAAAATTTTATTTTTGGCTATAACTTTCATGTTTGTAAACATTTATGTATATAAATTTACAGCTGGGTACTATTGAATATCGGAAATTATAATTTGATGCATACTTTAATATATCTAATAGAGGGCGCCACATATGCCACATACGTGGCCTACATTTACACTTAACTTTTTTGTTTTTCAAATTACCGGTATTCTTGATAAAAAATATTAAGGATACATAATTTTAACAAAAAAAAGGTATACTTGTTAATTACTTCAAAACTCAATAGTTTTCGAGATAATTGCATTTTACAAATCAACTGCATAATTCTGATTTAACGCAATTACTCCAGGCAATGAAAGAAAAATAGATAAAAACATTAATACTTCTGAATTTTGTTATAAAATACCTTTAATAAAGTCAATAGTTAACGAACTATTAAATAAAATAAATATACCAGCAGGATAATTAATAATAGGATTTGATAAAATAACAGAATAATTGGATTTTACATCAAACATTTTACGTTTTGTATTAAATTAAAGTCATAATCAAAACATTTTATTTACAAACCAAATTTAAAAATAGGTAAACTAAATAACATTAAACTTTGTGTCAAAGTAAGTGTTTGATATGTCCACCATTTTTTTTAAATTCATTTGTCAATACATTCCATAAAATATCATCTCATATTAAATAGCATCATTGGTTCTAAAGAACCTGCTGCAGTATTTATTATAGTTGTCTTAAGTATAATAATTAGTAATTTTTTGAAATTTTTATGAATTAAACAATTATTATTATCCTACCACAAGAATATGATTACCACGAGCAATCCAACGTTCAGGAAAGTGTATTTAAATACTGTCTTTCTCCGCTTTCACTGTAATGTAATGGTGCACCATCTTGTAGAAACCACATATTTTGCCTTAAGTTTGATAACAATTCTTCCAATACATCAATAAAATAATTTTATTAAAAATTTAAATCAATATCGACAGTCAAATAGCAAGGTAATTCGCACATCCGAAAAAAATATTTATCAATGGTTCCAAATCATGGGACTGAATTTTAAATATGAATTTTGAATGATATTTTACAGATATTATGCGAATTACCTTTCAATTTAAATGGTGAGATTTTTCTACATTTTTTATAAAATGATTTTATTGATTTATTGGAAGAATTGTCATCAAACTTAAGGCGAAATATGAGATTTGTACAAGATGGTACACCATTACATTACAGAGAAAGCGGAGTGAGACAGTATTTAAATACACTTTCCTGAACGTTGGATTGTTCGTGGTAGTCATATTTTTGTGGTGAGATAATAATAATTATTTAATTCATAAAAATTTCAAAAAATTACTAATTATTATACTTAAAACAACTATAATAAATACTGCAGCAGTTTCTTTAGAACCAATGATGCTATTTAATATGAGACGATATTTTATGGAATGTATTGACAAATGAATTAAAGAAAATGGTGGACATATCGAACACTAACTTTGATAAAAAGTTCAATTTTATTTAGTTTAACTATTTTTTAATTTGGTTTGTAAATAAAATGATTCGATTATGACCATAATTTAATACAAAACGTAAAATGTTTGATGTAAAATCCAATTATTCTGTTATTTTATCAAATCCTATTATTATTTATCCTGCTGATATATTTATTTTATTTAATATTTCGTTAACTATTGACTTTATTAAAGGTATTTTATAACAAAATTCAGAAGTATTGATGTTTTTATCTATTTTTCTTTCATTGCCTGAAGTAATTGCATTAAATCAGAATTAAGTAGTTGATTTGTAAAATGCGATTATCTCGAAAACTGTTGAGTTTTGAAGTTATTAACACGTATACCTTATTTTTGTTTAAATAATGTATCTTTAATAGTTTTTATCAAGAATACCAATCACTTGAATAACAAAAAAGTTAAGTGTAAAAGTATGCCACGTATGTGGCATATGTGGCGCCCTCTATTAGATATAATAAAGTAGGCATCAAATTATAATTTCTGATATTCAATAGTAGCCAGCTGTAAATTTTTATACATAAATGTTTACAAACATGAAAGTTATAGCCAAAAACAAAATTTTAAATTTCCACTTTAACACCCTGTATCTTTTTTCTCAACAAAATTTTAT